TTTACCCTCAAGTGGGACTTTGGCTGGAACACATGTGCTTTCAGACATGCACATAGACGTCTCTCTCACGAATACACGCAACTCACGCGTGTGTACTTGGGGGAGAGTGTCACCGCAGGTGTTAGACATTAATAGAAAGATTCTCCCGCTGCATCTCCTGGTCTCCATGCAGTTGACATTCCATGGAAAGGTTTGGTGGTCTGACGTATTAAACCAGTCATCTTAGTTGAGTGTAAGGATTTCATCCTCCTGCCAGGATATATTGTTTCTTGCCATCTCCTGTTCCAGGTGGAGGCGAAATTGATTTGTCTGCCGACTGTAAGTGCTTTGTCTACCCACCTTCCCATTCCCTCTTGTTCCTGGGCCAGGAATATCAAACAATGGCCCCGGGGTTAAAAATAGCAAATCCTTGTGAATAGATTCAAGGAGAAACCTGGAGTGGGTCTTTTTCAGTCGATGCAGGTCCGGAATGGGTGATGGGGCCTAGAGGCGGCGCCTCGATGGGAGTAATTGATCACATTCTCCTAGACAAAGGCCACTGTGAGCTTGTTCCATCCGCGGACGGAGCACTATCTTGCAGCGTGTCTTGTGGCGCATAGGACAGACTTCTCTTACCCCACGCGAAGTTGAAGTTCTTTTGGCCGTGGGTCCCGCTGGGGCAGCAGGCAGCCCAAGGTACAGCTTTGGGTCGACAGTTACTGAGGGAGGACTTCAGGGAACTCTGCTGCCGTGCGGCCTTGTGGAAATCTCCGCTTCGGCTCCCTCTCTCCCCTCACGTCAGCTCCACACTGCTTATGTCCTGTGGACGCCACCGAGAGACATCGGTTTGCTGCGGGCTGCGGGAAGCCCGTGCGGGACAAGGGCAGTGAGGATCGGAGCGTAGGCCGGAGCTCTCCGACAGAGGACGAAGGTTCTCAGGTCGCAGGGCCCTCCTTTGTCGCATCGAAGCAGCGGCACACACCCTGAGTGGCCTGGGCCCAGAGTAGCCGCCCCGCTGGTCAGTTTTACTTTTGACTTGAAACTCGGGGAGGAGGGGTGGCTTTCTTTCCGTTTGGTGAGTTGAGAGGACGCTAGCTTAGAAAACAACGCCGGGCTCGTTGGCGATGGGAGGAAAAATCATTTCACGTTTGCTACAGATACAGTCCTGACGGCAGAGCGTCACTTTGAGCCTGAAGGCCCCCTTCTAACTCAGAATAGGTAAGAAAGCGCGTAACCACAACCGCTGTCTGTTGATTGAGTCATCCCGTCAGATGAATTTGTATTTGGTCGTGGTTTATGAAGCCATCCAGGAGTGTTTTAGGAGCCACTAGTTTACAGATAAAAGTTCCAAGCCTATGGTCCCTCATAAATGTGAGTTCCGTTTGAAGTAGGACAGCCTCCCACCCCCAACACACACACACACACACACACACACACACACACACGACCCTCCCATTGCATTGCATTCTAAGGCTATATGTTAAACCCCAAATATTTTCACCTCTGACCCAGGGCAGCCGAAATACTGCTTTTTACCACCTTCAATCCCAGGATGCTCTTGGATAATGCTTTTACTAATTATAGTTTTAAAACTAGGTAATGGTCCCTTGGGGTTCTTGTAGGTGCCTCAGAGGTCACAAGAGAGTCTGCAGATCAATTCCAGCCCCCCCCCCCCCCCATTCTGCCCAGCCCCAGGTGAACAGGGAATAATCTCCCGTTCACTAGAGCCTATTTATGATTGATTTATTTTCAAACAGTTTTCTTGGGACATAATCCACATATCATACCATTCAATAGTTCATCCATAAAAAGTTGTACAATCATCGGCACAATCACATTGGGGACATTTTCTTCTTTCTTGTATTTCTTGTTGTTAGCCCCTGATCTCCCCCACCCTCCAAGCTGCTGTACCCCCAAGCAACCATGAATGCAGCGACCATCCTGGATTTTCACATATCCCAACCCATGCCAAAACAAGCAAAAAAGAAAGGAACGAAAAAGCTAACAACAATAACAAAATAAAATAGACAAGAACGTCAATCGAAATGAAAGCTGAAAAATATAAAAAACAACTTTAAAATGAATCCAAAGATAGATGGAATGATGCAGCTCAATCTTGCCTGCATCTGCCGTCACCCACCTTCCAGAGACTGCACCACTGCGAGGCTGTTCACGTCCCTGGTCTGGGATCAGAGGGGATTCAAGGGAGGCTTAATTTACATGGATTTCCTCTTCACTTTTAAAATTCTTATTTTACATTGGTGCAACTTTTTTTTTTTAAAGATCTGGTACAACTTTTAAAGGGGTCAAAAGGGGAAGCCAAATACAATGTTGCGTTTTAACCATGCTGTGTCTGCTACGATCACAAGTGTCTCTTGCTGGGTTGAGACACAAGTGAGAACAAGACAGGGGTTGAGGTCTCATGGAAGAGTCTCTGTATAGAATATTTCCTTAGTTAGCCATCGTGAGTCTTTAGCCAGGAAGTCTGTCTGCCCGTCTGCACAGCTGGCCCTCCAGCTTCCCATGGATCCAGGGCCTGGTCCTGGCAGATGTGACTGGTTCATCAGCAAGGATCTATCGAGCCTCGGTGGTACTAGGCCACAGGCAGCATCATGCCCGGTATTTGGGGATACTTCTTTAGAAAGGGGTGCTGTGCTGCTTCTGAGGAACCCATGGCTTAAGAAGGAGAAGGCAGACACGTGAGGCGAAGGATGCTTGGCTTCATTGGGGAAGGTGAGGTGGTCCTCCCCCCCACCCGGGAGGAAAGGACTGAGTTCAGATGGAGGGATCAGTGTCTTGTGGGGCTTAGGGACGGAATGTCAGCCAAGCCCTAGCTCTGTGCCAGCGCCACGGCAGCACCATCAGTGATGTCTGTCTGATCCAGGGAAGCTGTATGCCGTTGGGGGTTACGACGGGGCTTCCCGCCAGTGCCTGAGCACCGTGGAGCAGTACAACCCAGCGACCAACGATTGGACGTACGTGGCGGACATGAGCACCCGCCGCAGTGGCGCAGGTAGGGGTCCGCCTCGGGCTGTAGCGTGTGTCTGTTTTCTCACAGTTGGGTTTAGAGGCCAGCGGCTGGACATCACAGCTTCGTTCTCCTCCTTTCAGTATATTGAATCCCATCCGTACCTTTGCTATGGGGCCACGAGTGTGAATGAACCCTGCCCAGGGCTCACTTTGCTAAAGCCTGAAGGGGAGACCGTCCCTCCTCGTCACTGTCCGTCCCTTCCACTTCCACCGAGATGCCTGCCTCTCTCGAAAGAGCAGGTGCCCAGTGTCTTGACACTGCCCTAATTAGCACTTTTAAGTGCTTTGATAGATTGAATCTTCACCGCCGCCCTAAGAAGTAGACACAATGTTCATCCTACCGCAATGTGAATCAGCCTCCCAGGGGCTGGGTGTCTTGCCCAAGGTGATGTAATTAGTAATGCGTTGTGTCAGGAGTCCGCTTAAGCTCTAGCCCCCTCCAGAGTTAGCGTTGGTAACCCCCCCAAGCCATCGGAGCCTCGGTCCTGAGAAGCTGGCACAAACATGCCCGCGGGAGCGAAGCTGAAGCTTGCTGCCTGGAGTGTCTGCAGGGAGAATGGAAAGGCAGCCCTGCTAGCAGCGTTCATCGCTGCAGACAAGCCCACGCCACCCACCCCCGCCGCCGCCTCTTCAGCTGCTCCACAAGTGGTTTCCCACTTCCACCTCCTGTGTGGTCCCGTGGGATTTTCCTGGAGAGTGGAACCCCAGCCCTGCTTCCCCGCACGTCTCCCCACCAAAGGAAAGGGCGTGAGAAGGCGTGCGGGAACACCGGGGACCGGCTCTTGCGGTGACATGCGCCGCTGCTCCGGTCACCCGCTCGGCCTGGTGGCCAGCTACGTGCCTTCTGGGAGGGGGGGGCCACAGGGCAGGGTTTTCTCCACAGTGCTCCCTATGTGCATGTGCGTGGTCCCCCGATACAGTTCCAAACATTTATGACCCCTTCTGCAGCTTTCCTTACAAATTAGGCTGTGCTCGATATTTCCAAGCACCTCCGTCTGCTCGCAGGTGAAAAGGAACGTGGGGATGGTTCTTCTTAAGGGGCCTCTGTGCTCAGAAGGCTGGTCTCAGGGAGCTTGGGGTGGCGTAGCGGCACACAGTGGGCAGCTCACGTTGAGGTCAGCAGGTCGAAACTCAGCTGCTCCACAGGAGAAAGGGCTTCTACCTCCGTCAAGGTGACGGCCTCAGAAACCCACAGGACGGGGCAGTGCCTCCCTGTCCCCTAAGGGCCACTCTGAGTCAGAACGGACTTTATGGAGGAAATTTGGTTTGGGGTCATCTTTGCTTGGTTAAGCGCTCAGCTGAGAACTGCAGGATCAGCACATTGAAACTACCAGCTAGCTGCTCTCTGTGAGAGAAAGATGCGGCCGTCTCCCTCCTTAAGGATCCACAGGCTCAGAAACCCTGCAGGCAGTGCGACTCTGTACTGTGGGGTCGCCGTGGCTCAGGCTCGGCAAGACGGCAGTGTGGTTGACTTGGGGTTCTCTTGGCTGATCCTGACAGCTTGGTCCTCCCTGGCTCTGGTCCCGGGGCTGCTCTGGCTTGCCACGTGGCCTGCAGCAAGGCCCTGCCCTTTCCACGTGAGATGAGCAGGGTGCCGTAGCCGATTGCCCACCATTCCCTTCCCCTAATTTGGGTTATGAAGTCTTGGTAGAGTTGGCCGGCTTCCTCGAAACCCTCTCTTGTGACTTGGGCTGTGAGGCTCGGCGTCACAGCCGCAGGCTGCGGGCACAGCCACGCAGGAGGGAGCAGCACCCATTGGCACGTGCAGCTGCCTCTAGGAACTCCTAAGCGGCAGGAGTGTGGCGGGGCATTCCGCATGGAGCTGCGGGGACCCGCCTGCCTTGGAAACCTCAGGCTCTCCCTTGTGGATGTAGCTGCCTTTGGAGACTACTGCTACTGCCACCCACCAAGCTCCTGGGGGGGCTCTTGCTGGGGGCAGAGCTTTTGGACGGGCCTGCCCTCACGTGGGCTGGGCGCCCTGGGTGCGGACAGCTCCACTGCCTGTCCTGGGGAAATGCCATGCCCCCGGTTCGAGGATGGCCTCTCTCTCAGAGCTGGGCTGCTCCCTCAGATTACAATCAGACCCGACCTCAAGCCTTTCCTCAGTGCCTCACTGTCCACAGACATTTGGGAAGGATTGCTTCTGGATTCGGGAACCTATCTTGTTGTCCTGGGCTGGGGTGTTGCTGCCTGAGGACCTGGAGACCAGAGACGCTGGCCTCTGGTCACTCACAGCCGTCTGGTGCCTGGAAGCCCCGTGGCCAACGGTACCGGCAACCTCTGGGGAAGTGGACGGATAAGGGTACACAGTGGCAGTAGCAGCGGTGTGGGGACAGTGCTGTCCCTGCCTGCCCTGGAAGGCAGCTTGCTTAGGTGTTGGGACCGTGATGTCCCTGCGTGCCCTGAACAGGGTGTGGAATATACCAGCAGGTGGTTATGGGTCAAATTTGGGAGCCAGGATGTGCTAGTTCCTGCTGAACTTGCAGGAAGGGAAGCGGACGCAGCCTTGGAACACCCTGCGTTTTATTGGAAACCAAGTAGGGCGTCAGAGAACCATTGTCGGAACAACACCGCCACCTGCTGTTAGTTCAGGGAAACTGCTGGGAACCTGCATGTATCTCACTGGAATGGGCAGGGGGGTGGTCAGGACAGACCAGTCCCTGGGGAAGAGCATCACACTTGACAGAGCGTCAGCGGAAAAGAGGAAGACCTTCAACAGGAAGCCGTTGACGCAGTGGCTGCGACGTTGTGAGGATGGCGCAGGACCAGGTAGCGTCAAGTTCTCTTGTGCAGGAGTTGGCGGTGAGTCAGACCGTCTTGGTGGCACCTACTAAACCATTGCTGAGAGAGATTACACGGAGTCGGTCAGCCAGACACTATTTATGGACACCAGAGGTGGACATGACAGGCATGGGCCCTGTCCACGTGAAATTCGTGTTTCAGAAATCTAGTTCTTGGGTCTGAAATGCTAGCTACACATTCCAGTCACATGGGAAGGTTTGTCAAATTCCTGACCTAATATCTCGGAGTGAGGGCCTGGAATCAGTCTTTCCTGCATTGAGATAGCGCCTGTCCATGAAGAGTGGCCTCTAGGGACGCCTGAGCCAATCCAACCCCCCACCCCCACCCCAGGAGGGAGTAGGGTACCCTAGAGGCACATTACAGAGACTGAGCTGACCCGGGACCTATGTCACCTCCCTTCCTTTTGGTTTTCATTTCCCAGATTTGCATTAAAGACTTGAAAGATCACACTTAAACCTGTAAAAAATGTGACCCTCAGCCTCATCTTTCTCCCTCGGAGTCATCTGTGGGTTTGAACCGCTGACCTTGTGTTTAGCAATCCAACCCTTTCCCCGCAGGGCCACCAGAGCTCCCTAGGAGGAGCGAGCAAGTGGGCAGAAAGACCAGCCTCTGCTGGAAGGGTGGGCCGGTGAGCTCAGTCATCACTGTCTCAGCCGGCCTGCTGGCTGGCCGTTTACAGATGGTTTCGGTGTTGCTTATAATCTCTTTTTACTTGATGAATCTAAAGCCAGGCAGCGCAGGTGACATGACACCGTAAAGAAAATAGGCGATATAGATAGTCAAGAAGAAAAAGCAAACAACGTGTAATCTTCAAAACAAACAGAAAGAAAACCCATCACCAACAAAAACCCAAGCTCGCTCTCTGCCCCCACGTCGATGCTGACTCAGAGAGACCCTGTCGCACAGGGTAGAACTGCCCCTGTGAGTTTCCGAGACTTGTCACTCTCCACGGGAGCGGAAAGCCCCATCTTTCGCCCGCAGAGCAGCTGGTGGTTTCAAACTGCTGACCTTGTGGTTAGCAGCCCAACATGATGCTCTTACTACCCAGAAACAACGGCCTTTAACGTTTTGGTGGATGCCTTACAGCCTTTTTTTCTTTTTCCTCGGCTTATGGACTCCCACTTCACATCTGTATGTATGCATTGATATGTAAAGAAAAACGGGGTCTTCTTTGCTTGATCTTTTCCAAGTCTCAGATGATGAGGTAATGTCATCACAGATGAAGGTGAAGAAGCTGAGGTCCTGGGAGATAGCTCCCGCCCAGGTCACCTGCTGGTGACGGTGGCCGGGACTGGTGTCTGGAGCTGGGACACTGTGCTCTGCTTTTCAGGGGTTGGGGTGCTCAGCGGTCAGCTCTACGCCACCGGTGGGCACGATGGGCCTCTGGTGAGGAAGAGTGTGGAGGTTTACGACCCTGGAACAAACTCCTGGAAGCAGGTGGCAGACATGAACATGTGCCGGCGCAACGCAGGTAACGGCCGCCCCTGGGGGTTGAGAGGTTTTTCTCCCTGCAAGCCCCAGCCCTAAGAGAGAGGCAGAGGGGCCTGGGGCTGTGCTAAGGGGCTGGGCCGGGCCAGGGAGTGTCATCTTCCAGGGCAGCCCTGGCCTAGGGGACAGGAGATCTCAGGACCCCCAAAGCAAGCCCCAGGGCCCCCTCTGAGTGTGGAGGGGTCCTTTCCCTTTCAGAGAAGGGTGGTGACTTCCACTGCTCCGGAGGGGCCCGCGGCCAGTCAGACAGGCTCTAGAGATACCACCTGGGCCCCCGCCCTGCGCGCTGGCTTTGGTGGGCAGCTGAGCACAGGGCTGTGGGGACAAGGGCCAGGCAAGGACCCTTGGTTCTCCCCGTTGCCCGTGACCTGACTCTTAAGAACCTCTCACTTCCCACCTGCAACCAATTCCTTCGCCTCAGGCCTCACCAGCCGTGGCTGATACTTTAGTGGAACCACTCCCTTGCTGTCTGTCTGTCCTTCCCCTCACCCCCTCCTTCCTTCCGGTCCTCTTTCCTTCGTGTAGGAGCGATTCATGGTACCGTGTGTAAGTTTTTATTTCTTGGAGCCTGGCACCTTTGCAAGGAGCCCTAGTGGGGCAAAAGGGAAGCACTGCTGAGCGAAAGGCTGGCCATTGTGATTGGAACCCACGCAGCAGCTGGGTGGGAGAAAGCTGTCCGGCCATTGGCTTCCTAAATCCCACGGCCACGGGAACCCTGTGGGGGCAGCTCTGCTCTGCCACATGGGACTCCACGAGTCAGGAGTAGCTCCGTGGCTTCCTTTTAGAACGTGGGCCTAAGAGTGTGTCTTGTGTTGGGATAGTGTACTTTATGCTTCCTTGCCCAATGGATACAGACCCTCGCCCAACTTCCTGGGGTGGAGAGAGAAACCGGTAACTTCCAGGTCGCTTTGTTTCCTTTACATTCAATTGGAAGTGTAACCAGAGAGAAGTTGATTCATTTATTCACTGCTCTGATGTAACCTTGAGCTCTCTATGCCTTGAGCCATATGAATAAGGAATTATAGAACCCTCATGGCAGTTAGTCTCTCTGGAGTGTGATAATTAAGTTTATTTACATGTAAACATATGTATGTATAAACCGTCAAGTACAGATGCTTCTGTCTTTAAAGAAAACAGACTCATGTTGCACAACACCACTAAATATATTTGCCCGATACTGGTTTAAATAACCAAGGACTATCTCCATCTCTATCCTAAATAGTACTTTGCTTGTTATGCATGCTCCCTGCTGCTTTGGGGTGCAAAGTCACAAGTGGCATTTCTGAGTTAGAGGGAGCAGCAGCGATTACCCAGGAAGCCGGCCCACTTGAACCGCACCCCTGGACAGGAGAGTAGCCAGCACTGAAAAGTATGACCATGTTCGAGTATCGCCCTTAATCTAATCTAATTTTGAGGAGTTACACACTGTGCACTGGACGATGGCCTTTAACGAAGGCGCCTTGGGGCCCCTTGGGTGCTAACCACAAGGTCAGTAGTTTGAACCCACTAGCTGCTCCTTGGGAGACCAGGTGAGTCTTCCTAGGCCTGTAAAGATTCCCATGGGGCAGTGCCACTCCGTCCCGTAGGGTTTCCATGGATTGGAATCTACTTGGTGGCAATGAGCGTGGTTTCCAGTTCATGCTCTTCGATGGGGTCTCTGGGTGCGGCAGACGACTAATGAGCTCAGCTGCAGGCTCAGGAGAAAGGCCTGGTGATCTATTTCTGAAAAACCCACTGTTGACAACCCCGTGGAGCACAGTTCTACTCCGACATGCGTGGCGGTGCCATGCGTCAGAATCTGCACAGCCCCCATGGGTTCGTGGCCTTTAACGTCTTGGCGAACAGCACGAATTGCATTCTCTTACTTGTGAGTCCCTGCTACGTGAGACCTTGACCCCAAACCGGTTCACTCCTGTGTCAGCGTGGGTGGGGTCCCTCACCCCAGAAGCTCTGTGTGAATTTAGACTTCAGTCATGGAAAGGGACCACAGACGGCTCTCTGGTGCCACATAGGATGAATGTGACATTAGGTTTCGTGGGGGAGAACTTAGAAGTAGGAGTGTGGTAGCAGCAGTCCCTTGAATTGTCTGGTACAGCTCAGGCCAGGCTGACTAAGTTTCTGTAGAGAGGGGTCCACATCCGTAGTCCTTTATGCTTCTGTGGAGTTGCGGTGGGCAGGGACATCCAGGGGGCCTCGTAAGGAGGCATTCCCTGGTCAGAGGAAGGGGACAGGAAAGGGGTGCTTCACAACCCAGGACAGCTGTATGTCCTTCTGTTGAGCCACCTCAGACCTGTGGAGTTAGCCCTCTGCGGTGTTACCACACCCGACCCGACCCATTGTCATCAAGTAGATGCAGACTCAGCAACTCAGTAGGGCAGGGTGGAGCGGCCGCTTGGGAGAGTCCACTGTAACTGTTTATGGGAGTAGAAAGGCCCGTCTTCCTCCCAGTGTTGCCCGGAGCAAAGGGAAGAGCCAGCAAGCGCCTCCGCGGCTCTCTGGCTTTGTTTTCCCGGATGCCTGTTCCTCAGAGCCTCCGTTTTAATGTCCGCTGTGATGTCTGTTGACTCCCAGGGGTCTGTGCAGTGAACGGGCTCCTGTATGTGGTTGGTGGGGATGATGGCTCCTGCAACTTGGCCTCGGTGGAGTACTACAGTCCTGTCACCGACAAGTGGACGCTGCTGCCAACCAACATGAGCACGGGCCGGAGCTACGCGGGTGAGTGCCAGCCGTCTCTGCCCCCTTCCAGCGGGGGTGGGGCGGGGGTGGGGGTGGGGGGGTACCCTTTCTTACTTGAGACTCAACAGCCTCCTCCGGGGATGGCGGAGGGCTGTCACGTGCCCCCAACTCCTTTATTCTATGCTCACAACAGATACTGATGATCCACGGTTGTTTCCCTGGGGAAGAGAAGGCGGCTTTAGCATGCCCCTCAACACTGTGGTCCAGGGAGCCACTGCCGATTGACCTGAGTTGTCAGGAAGAGACTGTAAGACACTCACCTCCATCCCTGGTTTACCGATTGCCTGGCTCCAGACATTAAATTGGGGATTAGACTGATGGGGTAAGACCTGTGTACACAAAACGAGGAACTTCCATCCGCATACATGCTTGACTGAAAACAGTATACGCACTTTAGGGCAGCAGTTCTCAACCTGAGGGTCTCGACCCCTTTGGGGATCGAATGACTCTTTCACAGGGGTCGCCTAAGACCATCGGGAAACATAAATACTTCACAATATATAATCACATACTGTTTTGTGATTCATCACTATGCTTTAATTGTTTAATGATGCTCAATTTGGAACAGTGAAAGTACATCCTGCATGCCAGATAGTTACATGACGATTCAGAACAGTAGCAAAGTGACAGTTAGGAAGTTGCAGTGAAAATGACGCTGTGGTTGAGGGTCACTGCCACCTGAGGCACTGTATGAAAGGGTCACGGCGTGAGGAAGGTGGAGAACCGCTGCGCTAGGGTGTGCTTGGCACAGCCAGAGGGCAGCTCCTGGAGGAGAGGAGGTAGGTTGCAGTCACACGCGGCTTCCCTCTGCCAGTGGCTGCTCTGCGCCCCGGGCAGTGTGCAGGCACACGTATGTAGTCACTGATGCATTTCCAACCGCGGTGCAGGTTCAGTCAGACTGTCTGTCCCCCTTACAGATGCTAACCCTGAGCTCTAGAGAGTTGGAAATAACTTGCCCAAGGCCACGTGACAGATACATGACACACTGAGAATTTTAACACAGCAAAAGGTCAGGGAGCAGGACGTCCCAGGGAAAAGGCTGGGAGGGAGGAGTAGGACTGGAGGGCCATGTGGAAGCTTCTTCCTGGCGAGAGTCCCTGATGGGCTTGGTGAGGGGCAGGGAGAGAAAGGGTGGGTGGGGCAGAGTCGGTGCTGCTGCACTCTGGGGGCAAGTCAACATAGATCCCTGATGCAGACCAGGCTGTTGTGTCCGATGCTTCAGAAATGAGTGTCATTAGAGCTAACATGTATATAGTGAGTGCATGCAGTGTGTCAGGCTTTGCCTTACCTGTCCCTGGGAGGCTGGCCGGGGCCAGGCCAGTGGATGGGGAAAGCAGCCTTGCTTGGTGGAAATGAAGGGTCAGAGGAAAAGGGAGGGGAACTGACAGCATGGCTGTAATACGCAGCTCCTGCACAGTAGGGACTAGGAGGCTGGAGCAGAATGGGGGTGGGGGGTGTCTTCACTTCTGTTACACCTAAGGTGCTGGGAGCTGACACCTGGTACCTCAGAACCCCAAGTCACTGCCATGGAATGGAAGCTGACTCAGAGAGAGCTGGTAGGACAGGGCAGAACTGCCCTGGTGATTTTCTGAGAAAGCCCCATCTTTCTCCTGAGGCATGGCTGCTCGTGGATTTTGAACTGCTGACCTTGCGGTTAGCAACCCAATGGCGTAACCCCTGTGCCAGCAGGGCTCCCTTGTTTCATGTAAGCCACAGTTCCTGGGACTTTCTTATCACTCCCATTTTGCAGTAGAAAGGCAGGGTCTTTCCGTGTGGCCTGGATGACAGCCAGCATCACAGAGGTCAGTGCCCTGCCGTCTTCCAGGAGTGTCTGTCACAGCCTTCCCATGGACGCCTTCAATTGTGATGGATTTCATGCCCCGCCCCCTAGGTCAGAATGCTCACTGAATCACATTTTTTCACTGAGTAAATGTGCTCCATACAATGGATGAATGTACAGATTGTGATAATAGATGTAAGAGCCCCCAATAAAAGTATTTGGGGAGGGGGCAATGAATATACAAATGTGCTTTATACAATTGGTGTATGTATGGATGGTGATAAGAGTTGTATGAGCCCCTAATAAAATGATTAAAAAAGTACTTTTTAAAAAAGAAAAATATGGCAAGAAATAGAAGATGAAAAAGGAATTTCAGAGCAGCATAACTTTAATTACTTCTTAACTGCTTTAATTTCAAATACTATGAATAAATGTGAAATTGAAGAAGAAAAAAGCCCCTAATAAAATGATTTAAAGAAGAGGAAGAAGAAAAAAACACCCAAATAACATCCAAACAGATGAGAGGGATTCAATCCTGCAGTGATTCGCACAGTTAATGATTAAAGCCAGGCCTGTCATTTTTTTTTCTGGACTCTAGTCGGAAGAACAGGCCGTATTCCAGGACAAGGCTAGATGAGAGAGCCAGCGGGGTGTCTGAGTGGTTACATTCTGCATATGTCGTGAATATTGTATGTCCATTTTCACTTCGTCTGGCCGCCCGGAGAAGTACTTGGGAAGCAGACAGACAAATGCACATGTTTTTCTGCTTCTGTCGTTGCTGAGTGAGGCGTTTCGTGCATGGCTCCTGAGGTCAAATACGCCACAGGCCTTTCTTACATGTACGGCCCAGAGGTTATGGATTGAGGCGTTATTTGTAATAATAAGACCTGAGACCTCCCTAATATCTAACTGAAGAAGATAGATAAGTAATCTACGTGGGCTCCCACCGGTGGAAGATTTTTGAGAATTAGGAAAAAAGAGGAGGCTGCCAAGTTGTTCTGGTCTGTACCGCCTGAGCTGAGTCACGTTGTCCCCCATCCTGGGGGTGACTAGTTAGGGCTTCAGGGCCTGGCTGTTGGAGTCAGATCTGAATTTGCATCTCCACTGGGCCACAAGCCCCGAGACTTCTTTGGGCAAGGTGTTCGACGGGGCGGCACCCCCTTCTTCTCCTTTGCGAAGTGGGAGTCAAACCACACCATGGCCTCTTGTGAGGCTGCAATGGGACAGGGTGTGCAGAGTGGCCAGCACAAGGCAGAAAGATCCCTCGGGGCTGTGCAGACTGAGCATTCTGAGGC